AAGTTTGATGCAATTGGTTCCAACAAAAAAATGTGAATGGAGAAAAAATGGTGCATACATTTATTATCTAAATTTATTTTTAAATTGAAATTAAAATTGAAAAAAATTACCCATGCAAATTTAAAGAAATAAACAAGTATTCGCTTGGAGCTTCTCAATTTTTTGGTAATAATTACAGAAAAGCAATACGCATCGGTTTCATAATTGAATTGTTAACAGTTAACGCATTGCACCATAAAATTACGTTTTTTAGGTGGCAAGTCATCGCTTAAAACATCTTCAAAAAATGTCTCCTTTTTTATGCAAACGATAATTTATAATTATAAATTAAGCTATATAATTGAAAATAAAGCACGATAGCTAGGGGAAATGACGGCTTCGGCATGACAGACTATTTTCGGCAACACAAATTGAAACACTATTTTCACTGGATTTTCTTACGAAAACACTTCGCTGAATGCATGCAAACGATTCTTTATGCTTTCAGCTTCAATTTGACTATATTTTTACCACTGAGAAAAAGCAATCTAGCAAGGTTTTCTTGAAATGCAACACACGCACTACAAATTGTAGCTGATTTCGAGTTGCCGATAATAGAACAGCAGATCAACATGCAGGTCAAATGGAACGGTTGCCGAAGAAAAACTGGTTACCGACAATACTCGCTCTCACTAGAGAAGATTGGAGCTTTGTAAAAGAGTTTCAAAACAGTTTTTTGACAATTCTTTCGACTGAAATTGTTAGAGCAGCTGGCAGCAAAAGATTGTAAACAAACCAATACTACATATATGTGCGTTCCTTAGAGAAAAAGGCTATAGAAAAAAGGTCGCTACTTAGGTTGCCGAGAATAAGTTAATTCTCCTATATAATTAAAAATAAAGAACGTAAATTATTATATCATTATTATACAATTATAACCCACATTAGAAATATTTTAATAGAATTGACTACCCCCTTGATCTCCTTTCTCAATTTACAGCTGGTATAACCAGTTTGACAGATCGATGTCCTACTATACCACTTGAAATCACTGAAATGGGGTCGATTTTTTATGATCGAGTTCCACATATGTTATGTGACTCGTAGTCCTCCGCCAAGGTGTTGCCGATTGGGATCATACCGGCGATAACGCATACTGCCTCCATCATAATGGTTCTGTACGCACTCACGACTCGCATGGCCATGAACCGGAACGTACTGCTCAATTTCCTTTGGTTCTGCTTCGTTTTCAGCGCTTCAATCCAGGCTGGACCTCCGTACCTCAGTATCGATGAGGACACACTAGACAGAAGACGCCTCTTGCTGCTGCTTGGACCAGAATTGTTCGGCATGATTCTGGCTATTGCGTTGATGACCTTCGCCACCTTCTCGCAAGCATATTCGATGTGGCTGTTAAAGTTTAGCCGGTCGTCGATCATCACTCCCAGATACTTCAGCACGCGCTTCGAAACAATGGTGTGCTCTCCAACGGTGATTTCTGCCCGCTGAACTGCTTTACAGTTACTGACCAACATCACTTCTGTTTTGTGGTGGGCTATCTGCAGCTTCGCTCCTTGCATCCAGTTACCAATCGTATCTATCGCCTCGGCCGCCAGCATTTCCACTTCTTCAAGCGTCTCACCGGTTACCGTCAAGACGACATCGTCCGCAAAGCCAACGGCGTCAGCACGCCATTGTACATTCCGTTCCACAGCGTGGGACCTAGAATGGAGCCTTGTGGAACTCCCGCCGTGATTCTAATCGATTTCTGCCCCGTGTCTGTCGCGTAGACCAGGACCCCGGTTCTGGAAGTAACTACTTAGAATCTTGCAGAGGTAGCCTGGAACCCTCATTCTATGGAGCGCCTTGGCGATGGCCTCCCAGCTGGCGCTATTGAATGCATTCTTCACATCAATCGTAATCACGGTGCAGTATCGATTTCCTCTCCGCTTCTGTTTGAAAGCTTTCTCGGCTCTGTCAATCACTGCCGAATTGCATCCACCGTCGATCTCCCTTTACGGAATCCGAACTGCCTCTCCGACAATCCGTGTTCACTCTCCGTGCATTTCGTCAGCCTGTTCAGGATGATCCTCTCCAAGAGCTTTCCGACAGTATCCAGCAAGCATATTGGCCTACACGATGCAGGATCTCCCGGCGGTTTTCCGGGCTTCGGCAACAGCACAAGCTTTTGTACCTTCCACCTATCAGGGAACTGACCCTCGTCCAGACATTTCTGCAGCACCATCCTGAAAATATTCGGGAACGTCTGGATCGCCGCCTCCAACGCCACGTTGGTAATTCCATCCGGGCCGGAAGCTTTCTTCGCATTCAACCCTTTCGGTGCTACTAGGAGTTCCTCGTTGGTGACTTCGACGTTATCTCCCTCTCCTTCTCCGTACGGTGTAGGTGGCCAGGTCGTTGGGTCGTGCTTCGGGAAAAATCCTTCCACGATGACTTCCAGCAGGCATCGTTGGACCTCTGATTTTCGCCATCACGACTCGGTATGCGTCGCCCCAGGGGTTAGCATCAGCGTCTCGACACAGCTCCTTAAAACAGTTTGACTTGCTCTGCTTTATCTCTCGTTTAAGTGCGGCCCTGGCCACTCGAAACACTCCTCTTCGTTCCTCTCTGTCTGCTTCTGTTCTTGCTCTCTGAACTCGCCTGCTGGCTAGAAGACAACTAGCGCGGAGAGTGCTAAGTGTCTCGTTTCACCAATAAACTGGACGCCGTCTGTTTGGCTCCAGTTTCCTCGGCATGGTCGTGTCACATGCTCTCACTAACGATTCTGTCAGCTCGTCCGCGTTCAGAACCACATGGCTCCTGTCGACACGGAATGCTTCAACGAAAAGATCCTTGTCGAAAGCCTTCGTCTTCCACTTCCGGTCACAAGTTCTCGTCCTCCGTACTGCCACAAAATTTCGTCGCTATGGGTATATCTTTCGCGCACTCTCCAATCCATGTTTGTCCCCAACGACGGACTGCAGAAAGTAACGTCGATAATGGATTCCCGGCCATCTCTGCGAAAAGTGCTGCGGGTGCCTTCGTTGGCCAGCATAACTTCCAGTTTTGCCAGAGCTTCCAGCAGACTGAGTCTTCTTGCATTGGAACATCTGCTTGCCCACTCAACTGCCCAAGCAATGAAGTCTCCTCCGATGACGACCGGTCTTTGTTCGATCAGCTCTTCGGTAAGTCCATCCAGCATCTCATGGAACTTCTCCATCGTCCATCTGGGGGGTGTGTAACAACTACATATGAAGATTCCGTTGATTTTGGCGATCACGAAACCTTCGTATGAGCTTGCAACCACTTCTTGAATGGGGTATCTGCCCATAACTTGTATAACAGCCATCCCAGCTCTATCCGCCACCCAGTTACCGTTATCGTGAGGGGCTCGATGCGGTTCCGCAATGATTGCAACGTCGCACTTTGTTTCTGTTGTCGACTGCCACAACAGTTGCTGAGCAATGTCGCAATGATTGAGGTTTGTTTGGGTTACCTCCATTACTGTTGGCCTGCCATCGCCTTTTTATATGCTAGGCATTTGAAGTCTCCCGTCGTATGATCGTTTCCGTCCTCTTTTTTGCAGAGCATACCTTCACCTCGGTTGCTTTGTGCAGCCTCTTGCAATATAACCTTTCTCTCCGTATTTCCTGCACAGATCAGATCTGTCAGGGCCATTGAAATTCCTCGCTTGGTGACCGAAAGCTCGCTCGCTGCTTGCAGGCACCTTTTCGTTGTGTACTGGAGAACAATGTTCAACGCCACGCGCCGAAAACACTGCTGCTGCTGCTGATGATGATGATGATGCCGACGACCGGACACCACCACACACGGTGATTGGAACTGAATCCGATCAGCGGTTGAGGCCAGCCTTGATAGCTAGCTGCTTGCAGGGAATCTTTCGTTGTGCACTGGAGAACATCACCACGCGGTGAGACCGGATGGAATTCAACTTTGAAATCTGTGTTAGGGAAATCGCTTTTCGCAGGCAATCTGTGATAAATTAAATTATAGCAACAGTTGAACATTCGTGCAATTTTCAATAGTGATATTTAGAATAATGATAAAGCCTTAAATTTATCAGATCTTTTTTTCTTTCCTTTATTTAACGTCGGTCTCTGTTCCGCAATCTAGCGCCAATCACCGACGGACATCGATTTTCATCCATTGACGGCAATCGAATGTGCAGGAAGGCAGCTTCCACACCTGCGTAGGATATCGCACCCATACACAACACACCACCTACACCACCGGCGCCGGCTGTAAAAAAATATCAGATGCGTAGAAATATTTATGATCGAATGGTGATAAAATTATTGAAATTGGTCCAGGGGCAGCTGAGTTATTAACGTTCAAAATCTTTCATAATTTTGTTACGTGTTCCATTTTCGGTTTTCACAAAGTGTACCCCCATATTAAAATCACAGCTTACACCGGTAGTACGTACATAGATCGGCATCCATCGCATTGATGCGGTTGTCGGTTGTCCCACCGAAAATTGTGCTTTACGGGCAGCTGACTTTTTCTCTGCTTGCAGGGTGAAGTCATCGGGAAAAACAAACTTGAATCGGAAAAAGTTTTAGTTCCAGCGATTGAATTGCATTGAATAAAGAAGATCTATTTTTAAATGTTCGACAGCGCGATGCCTAATGCAACATAAAAGTTGCTATAAGAACGTACAAAGATGCTTACAGCGACAAAAGCATCATTACAAAAGAACTAAATTTTGCAACCGATAATTTGAGCTAACAACTTCCTATGAAGCAGCACGGACAAACATGTGCATGGTGTAAAATCGGAAAATCAATTGCATAACTTTTCCCACCCAACTTTTCCCTAACAAGAGAATCTATAAACTTAGTAGCATCGCTAAAGTTTCCCATCAGCTTTTACCCGGTAAAGATGCAATTAATACGGTTTTCTGTCTCTTCATTTCTCCATTCCATTCACTCTGCTATTATTTCCTCGGTACGAAACTTTCAATCGACCCGTCTAAGCGCTTCTAATTTCTCTTCTTCCAGGTTGCCTGCACGTGGGACGACGTGAAGCTGCTGCGGATGGACATGGAACGGAATGCCTCGTCGGCGATTCACTTCCGGACCAAGCTGCTGTCGGCGGCTTGTCAGATGCAGTCCGCCCTCTCCATTACGGATCTAGGTCAATTATACTACAAACCGCTGCGAGACTTGCACGGTACGGTGGTGCTATCCTGTGTTAACTGCATAAAGGTACGTTTTGCCATACGCGTGCGTTCCTCCATAATAATGATTAACGTGATTTTACCTCCCTCCCCACATCCAGAGTCCGAAGAGTGTATCAGTATTAAATTCCCGCTGGATACCGCTGAATAAAATCCACAAGAAACTAGCCCTCTCCACCGAGGACAGCAACATCAACGAACTGTTAATGAACTCCATTCAGGATCAGATCAACTACCATCAGGTGTCCAATATACGGCTTCCCCGCGGTCTGTATGTCGGCTACCTAAAGATGCAGAGCTCGGTGGACGTGATTCAGGTGGTCGTGCCGGTGAAGGCACCCAACGTCCTACCGCACTGCAAGATTCGAGACAATCCCCACGTGTCGGCGTAAGTATATGTTTTCTTTTATTGGGAGAAGTTATGCTGGTTATCTCAATCAAATGGGTGCTGGGTTGATCTTTGTCGGAAAACGTCTCGTTTCCCAGCCGCGGCAAGTTCACGATACAGCACGTGACTGCTAATGAGGACACGTTCCATATAAGAAGCTTTTGTGGCAGATGTTTTCCGTTTCGGTGTCGATTTAAAACTTTCCCATCTTCACTTGTTTGTTTGATTTTACTTGGTATGGTGGGGTGATAAATATTCCGAACAAATTGCTTCTCATCATTTGGCAGTTGGAAGATTGAGATATTTGCTGAAAGAGTTAGAAGTCAGACCCAAAATAAACTTTATGGGGAGATAAGTGAGAGTTCAAGCAACGCTAAGTAGTACCAGGAACATGGGCTCCGCTAAATAATTCTTGCATCAACTTTTGAGGAAAGATTCTGCCAATAACATTTAGAAGAATTGAGAAATTTCTGAGATCCATCTGGGCAATGTTCCACCGGGCGCAGCTCCGGACAGTTTGGCGGATTCATGTCCTTTGGAACAAAATGGACAGAATTGGCCTCATACCACTCCAGGACACTTTTAGAATAGTGGCATGATGCCAAATCTGGCCAAAATAGCGGAGCTTCGTCGTGCTGCTGCAAGAACGGCAAAAGGCGCTTCTCGAGGCACTCAGATTTGTAGATCTCGCCATTTACTGTGCCCTTTGTCACGAAAGGCTCACTCCTCAGTCCGCAAGAGCAGATGGCCTGCCAAATGAGATATTTGGAGGCGAACTTCTCCATTTTCGTTGAATCGAAAAACACGACTTCGAGTTTGACAGCATGTACACAATACACATCAATGAGAAAGTGTGCAAAATTTGGTTGATTTTTACCCAATGGTAAAAAAGTTATGCCCTGTTGAATGTGTCGCAATAATTTCGTGTTCGCCCTTTATAGAATATAGAATCGTATTGTATATAAGTATGGGCGGAGCCTGGACTACTTGATCGTTGTATATTGGTGATCGATATGTAAAACGGATTAGAAATGCAACGACGAGTTAGCTTGGTGGGCTGTAATTCGATTTTCATGCTTACGAGTTACATCGGGTACGATGCACTCAGCATGGTGTATTGATTTATGGTTGAGCACTTAAAGAGCATGGGAAACAAATGTGGCTATTTTGTAAGAATGCTTAGGTCAAAATATGAAATGTGGGAAAGGTGCTGTGATTGCGAAATCACACTGATATTCGTAGTAAGCATAATATCAGGCATACGTCTTTGACAATATTATCCATATGAATATCACTAGAAAAAAGTTGCAAATCTTGCTTTTATTTCAATAAATTAACTTTTTTGTATAACCGTTGCATTGTTTTAGTATTACTGAGCTGGCGTATTATTAGCTGGCGTATATAAGAAACATTTGCGGCAGAACTTTGAATATCAGTGGTCCCTTAACGATGTCAATGTCATTTGCGCACTGACATTGAGGCGGATGATATTGATATTCCAACTGTGTTAACTGATACTGACATCAGGGGGCTAGTGAAATTCATCATTTTGTAGGTCCCTGCGAAATGTACTATAGTCCATCATTGATCGATCCTCATCGATTAATTCGACAGTGAGCATGCACAAGAGCGTAACCACAATTATCTTCGTAAATTTTCTCTTTTCTCAATAGCTTGCTTGGATTTATGCGTTTGTTGTTGCTTTTGATAGCTAATACAACCTGTTAAAGTACTGTTTTGGACAAATTTCTAAAAATTGCCTCCCTTAATTGCAGAAAATCGATGAAGAGAATCGATCCTTGCTAATGGGCCCTTATGCATGCTCACTGTCGAATTGTTACATTCCATTTTCAGATTATGAATCTTGCGTCACTTTTAAAATAAATCAATCTAGGATAGAGAACTACTTCGGCCTAATCGTCCATTTTTGGCCTATCGAGCAGAAAACTTCAAATAAATCCATGATTTCAGAGTTAACAAGTCAATTATGCGTTTGGTACGATACTTTAGTTAATAAACTACCGAACGAAGTCAATGAGAACGCGTGATATGAATGTTTGCACCCATTATTTTCAAAAACAAAAGAAGCGCTCCGACCGAATCAATTTTTATTTTCATTCGATAGGCCGAAGTGAATTCATTGGCGTTTCAATGCTTTAGGCTGAGTTTAGAATCCGTAGGCCGAGTTTGGCGTCAAGAAGCAGTGTTAGACTTTTGACAATATCTCAACGATTAGTTTCTCTTTATCAAATCTTACGGTATATACGGAAAGGTAAATAAATTTGGAAGCCATCAGTAATAATAACATTCCGTTTGGTGCTAAAGTGCGCTAGATTAGGAAATACTAAGTACGGGTTGTGCTTGATACGCCGGAAATGGGGTAGTTAACCCTACCTTGTTCGATTCTCTCCATCGACTCTCTCTTTCGTTAATAACGTGGCTGCATTCATATTTCGGGCTAATTTTTCTACATAGCCTGTTAAAAGAAAATATAATTAAGCATATTGGACGATAAGAACAGCTGATCATGTTTTTGGAGCCGAGTTATTAACGAAAGAGAGCGTCGATGACGTGAATCGATCAATGCAGATTGGTCTTATTGGAAGGTGACGGGAAAAATAAGTATTCTAGTTACACATCTACGAGTACTAACTGGAAGACATTTTGCCTGGCCCTCGATTGAAATAACCACGGCTCTCACAATATTTAAATGATTTGTACTGGAAATTCAATGCAGTTGCAGTTAGAGATTATACTAAATTATTTTTTTATTATTGCCACATTGGACATTGTATATTATGCATGATGCATGATAGTGGTTTACCACCCATTGTAGCACGAAAACTAAGTCCGATAGCAGTGGGCTCTCTTCTCTGTTTGTCATGTCATGATCAAACTTAATAACCTCTGATTGTCCTCAACAAATCTCTGTATGAAGGGCCAAAAATGAATTGGGTGGATTTATTATTGTTTTCCCATGTTACTGACAACAGTTTTTGTTTGCTATTAATTGTAACCAAACTGCTACAAACATATGCATAAATATTTTTAAATCCGCGCCATATGATCAGGTATTCAGGTTCTTTATACAACAGTAGTCGATTGCTGACTAAAACGTGAATAACCACAGTGGTGACACGAAGCCACAGGTGAGCCGACGCCCCTAACCGTTAAGGAGGTAAACAATGACCTCTCGGTGATTTCTCGAAAGGCATGGCTCTCACTGGCAAATCGACATCACCATATCGAGTAGGGGAAGACTTCCCTTACCCGATGGATGTGTTGGTTTGTGTAGGCGTGCCTTGAATTCCTAGAAATCAACGAGAGAAGTCATTGTTTACAAAGGCTGTCCCGCCCTAATGCCAGCTCTATCTAGAAGTGTTCGTTGGATTGCCGTCGATGTTTATTCAAACTGATGACAGTTGATGATTATTTAACCTGTTTTCACTTGTTGACATAGGACTACTTTGATCACTTTTGAGTAATTATGAGTAACTTAAATTTACTCGATTTAAAAATATTAGCTTGGGGTACAGCTGGCTTGCCCCTTAGGGCCTGACCCAACTAGCAACATGTCCAATTAGGTTTAGTGGTTGTCGAAAAATGTGGACCCTCAGAAGGCACCAGAACTATAGTCGCTATATTCATAGTCTGGCGGATAGAATTTTGGGAGCCAATTGAACTGTCAAATAGCGGAGCCAATCGAGCAAATCACGACCAACAACAGAAAAGAGCACATCAGCTATTGCGAACAAATCTTCGGAAACCATTTCTCGTGATTCAAGGTTTGCCTACGCAAACTAACACTATCTTTGCGTTGGGGAAAGATTCCCCTATCCGGTGATGCCGGTAATTTGCGTTCGATTGTCGAGGAAAGAATAATCAACGCTTTGTTTATGAATGTTGATAGGACCTTTTCAATTGTTGGTCTACAATATATTGAATTGGTTCCGCTTTTTGATAGATCGAAATTCTATCCGCCAGACTATGAATATAGCGACTATAACCAGAACATGCTAGGGACGGCTAGTGTGACCGCGGTCTTTCAATAAGGCCATTACCAGCCGAGTTTTGAAAAACCATGAAGTTTGATATGTCGCCCGATGGGTTTTGGTTCTTGTCGAGATTTAGGCACTTCCTCGGGGGCACCGAAACAAGCCCAGGAGGGCAACTGGGATCATGGTCTGTTAATATGGCCATTATCGGTCGAGTTTTGCAAAATCATGAAGTTTGATGTGTCGCACGACAATTGTTAAGAATTGGCCACTTCTTCGAGAGCACCGCAACATTTCCGGGATGACTCTCAATAAGGCCATTACCGGTCTAGTTATGAAAAACGATGTAACTTGATATGTCGCACGACGAGTTTTGGTTCTTGTCGAGAATTGGCCACTTCCACCGGCTCTTTTCCGAGATGCCCAATGTGACCATTGACTCTCAATAAGGCCATTACCGGCCAAGTTTTTTTTTAATCATGAAGTTTGATAGGTTACACGACGGAGTTTGGTTCTTGTTGAGAATTGGCCACTTCCCCAGGGGCACCAGCTCTTTTCCGGGATGCCCAATGTGATCATGGACCATCAGCTGCCTTTCGTCCAATTGCATAATTTGAGTGAGAAAATATTATGTTCACCGTGTATAATTATTAAAGTACAGTAAAGCCGAATGCCGTCCCAGAGTGACCCCAACGGAAACCGGAATAACTCCGGAACCATGTATTTATCCTAATTCCTAACCTTGGCGTGCCTAACGTCTAAGTTTGCATAGATTTCGAAATTCAATTAGCTCTAAGAACATATTTTCTCAATCTTTTTCTGCACAACAGGATTCTCTGGATCCGGAGTTATTCCGGCTTCCGTTGGAGTCACTCTGGGACGGCAATCGGCTTTACTGTTCTTTGATAATTATACACACTGTGAAAATAATATTGTTTTCAATCAAATTACGTAATTGGACCAATATCGGCTATACCATGATCACATTGGGAATCAGGAAAAGCT